TCCTCTCGGACGCCCATGTCTTAGGCTACTCTTATCAAACCAAATAGATTGGAATTCGTATACAAATACTGAATGAATAAAGAAAGAATTATGTTTCTCATTTTATGAGGGGGGGGAAGTGTCCCCTCTTGCCTTCCTCTCGGACGCCCATGTCTTAGGCTACTCTTATCAAACCAAATAAATTGGAATTCGTATACAAATACTGAATGAATAAAGAAAGAATTATGTTTCTCATTTTACGGGGGGTGAGCAAGTGTTTGGATTTCGCCGTCACTATTAGAGCGCATCCACAGCTCAGAAGTATTAAGCAGGATTTTGCAGCAACGGAACACGAGCCATAGAACCTTAGATCCGCAATCTAGACAAGTTAACCACTACTACGTTCTTTCTACATTTCCCAAGTCTGCGTAATCAAACAACGGGCTCCTACCTTCTAACATGAAGTACCTGTAAAACGTTGCAGTTTCGCAGTCTGCGTAATCAAACAACGGGCTCCTACCTTCTAACATGAAGTACATGTAAAACGTTGCAGTTTCATATTTTACTGAGGAGTTAAAGCACGTGCTTTTAAACTGCTCTTCAAACTCACAATTACTGAAACGCTGGAGAAGTGAGCACATTTTTTTAATCGCAATGTATTGAATATGCAATTTCAAACTCCATTGATAAACGCGCATACATGCATTTTATTGAAGTCTTTAGCAAAAATAATGTTTTTTTAATCGTAATGAAATGGATTGATATTTTGAACCATGAAAGATTAACATGCGCACACGCCGTTTATTGAAACTTCTCAGCAATTAACAAGTTTTTTGTGGAAATGAGACAGATTTACAGCTTTAAATTTGAGAGATTAATGCACATAAATGCAATTTATTGATAATTTTGAGAAAAAAGCAAAGTTCTAAGATAGTAATAAGAAAGATTCACATTTCAAACTTCAAAGGTTTATGCTGTGTGGACTAGGTTTTTTACTCTTCATTGAAGTTATGTAAGAATTACTTCCAACAGAGTTCTATATGTTGAATTACTTCCAACAGAGTTCAATATGTTGAATTACTTCCAATAGAGTTCTATATGTTGAATTACTTCCAACAGAGTTCTACATGTTGAATTACTTCCAACAGAGTACTACATATTGAATTACTTCCAACAGAGTTCTAAATGTTGAATTACTTCCAACAGAGTTCCATATGTTTAGCATTCAACGTACGATTCTCTTTGCATCCACAATTTTTTGTCACCTTTTCCAAAGTTCAAGAATTCCAACTCTAGCATCAAACAGAATCAAACTGTTAACATAATGTCACGATCAATATAAAGGATCGTTATGACCTGTGGATGTCACTCAGTAACAATAAAGACGAACATATGTCAGAACCTGGTCTATGAAACATGTAAAAGGCGGTTAGAATATCATCTGAAGAAATTCTGATGTGACGATTAAGTGAGCTTTGTCGCAGACTCAATACATGACCAAACGCAGCATGAATCTTTCAGTGGACAAACCTACCCCATCAACTGGACAGCTAACAACTAAGCCCCAAAACCCCGGAAGATGTTTCGAGATAATAGCAATTACAGGCTTTAGTTACACAAGTCCACCGATAAAGAGTGCATAATACTTATGTAAAGTTTCAGTTACCTGAATCTGGTTTCAGTGCACTGAATCGATTTCCAAACGATGGACAGCATTGTTTCATTACTGTGTTGTTCCCGCCTTTGTTGGTCGGGGCCTGCTGTTCCACTTTGCAATTAAACTAAATTACCGAACGAAGGGGAGGGAGGTTTGTGAGAAACAAGTGCGTAAAAATTAAAAAAA